ATCATCGTCATCATTCCTCATCATCATTAGCAGCAGCATCATCAGCATCATCATCATCATCATCATCATCATAATCATCATCATCATCATCATCATCATCATCATCATCATCATCATCATCATCATCATCCTCCACATCATCATCATCATCATCATCATCAGCATCGTCATCATCATCATCAGCAGCAGCAACATCATCAGAAGCATCATCATCATGAGCAGCAGCAGCATCGTCGTCATCATCATCAGCATCCTAACCAGCATCGTCATCATCATCATAGTCAGCATCGAATCACCATCAGCATCAGCATCTGCATCGTCATCCGCATCACCGTCATCATCCCCATCATCATCAGCATCATCATCAGCAGCAGCGGCACCATCATGCTCATCAGCATCAGCATCAGCATCAACATCATCATCATCATCATCGGAACCTGAATCAGCATCGTCAGCATCATCATCACCACCATCATCATCAGCATCAGTATCATCATCACCACCATCAACATCATCATCATCATCAATATCATCGGCATCATAATCAGAATCGTCATCATCAGCAGCAGCATCATCATCACAATCATCATCATCATCAGCAGCAGCAGTCACATCATCATCAACATCATCCGCATCATCATCAGCATCATCATCACCATCCTCATCATCATCATCATCATCATCATCATCATCAACATCATCATCACCACCACCAACACCACCAGAATCACCACCACCACACCACCATCACCATCATCAGCATCACCATCATCAGCATCAGCATCATCGGCATCAGCATCATCAGCATCATCATCAGCAACATCATCATCAGCAGCATCGCCATCAGCAACACCACCACCTCCAGAACCATCACCCCGCCACCACCACCACCACCATCATCAGCATCATCATCATCAGAATCAGCATCATCATCATCACCATCAGCAGAAGCATCATCAGCATCAGCATCAGCATCATCATCAGCAGCATCATCATCAGCAGCAGCATCATCAGCAGTAGCAGCATCAGCATCAGCATCAGCATCATCGTCCTCACCAGCACCAGATCCACTGACACAATCATCATCATCAGCAACATCAGCATCAGCAGCAGCATCATAATCAGCATCGTCATCAGCGTCACCATCATCGGCAGCATCATCGGCATCATCATCCGCAGCATCGCCATCACCAGCATAATCAGCATCACCAGCAGCAGCAGCAGCATCAACATCAACATCAGCATCAGCACCAGCATCATCAGCAGTATCAACATACTAATAAACAGAATCATAATAAGCATCATCATCATAATCATCTCATCAGCAACATCCTTATCATCATCAGCAGAAGGATCATCAACATCAGCATAATCCTCGT